ATGCGCGCTGGGATCTACGTGATGCGCTGTCATTCAGGCTGTTCCCGCACTTCTGGATTCCGGGCGACGAATATTTAGAACCAGATGTCCGGACTGAGAAACCTCGTGCTACTGCCGTTGGGCAGGAGGCAGATGACGGCGCGAGACGATGCATCAAACTGTCCTGTGGAGCGGGGATTGCACAGATAACATTCAACGATGATGGGAATCCCGAACCCTCTCCCACCGTGACGTCTCCAGCCAAGGAAGTTATCTTCACGATGAAACAGATTCAATCCCGCTTCCCTCGCAAACATAACCGCAACAACCCCCTGAAACTAACTATGCTTGGCATGAACGGCAAAACTGGCACGGTCCGCGACGTCTGGCGCCTCTTTGACTCCATGAGCGTCATCGCCATCCCCGGTTCCAAGGTTGTGTTAACGAAACAATCTATTCGGTGCCCTGATATGGAGGTTGAAGATCCGGATCCCACACTTGTCTGGACTTGGGCAACGTTATTAACGAAACCGAGAGGCAGAGATGCCAAGGCAGCCGGCGGCCGCATGAAACTTGTCAAGTCCATTGATGTCCGAACGGGGATGTTTTTGGATGGCTTGTATGTTGATTTTGAGGATGGGGAGCGGGTAAAATGTGGGCCACGACTGAACCCCTCTGGAGGCGAGCATTTGTTTGGCGGGCATGCGGCCGAGGTGGTTGATATTATTCCTAGTAGTAGTAGTGGGAAGGGTGACGGACGGGTTGATTATGGGAATCGAGAGATTGTGAAGATTCAGGTGGCGAGGCGCGACGATGTGCTTACTGGATTGAGAATTCATTTGAAGGATGGAACGGAGGGTGGTCGGTTAAGCGGATTTGAGGGGCATGTGGAGGAGAGGTGTGTGCTTGGTGAGTTTTCCTTTCTCCGTTGATTTCGTATAAATTTCCATTGTGCATATGTACTCTCTATCGCACGCTTTTACTGACGGACAGTGAACCTTTGTTCTCAAAATGGACACAGAGCCACCACCGGGACACCGCATCGTTGGCTTCTTCGGAAGCAACTGGTGGGGTTGTAAGTTCAACGCAATATTCGAGTTTGGGATCCTTACAGCACCGCGTGGTGTGGAGCTGCCCGAGGTTGTGTATGGGATGAAGGAGTTAATGAATACAGACGGGGGACACGCTGTGAGTTAAGGAATTTCCCTCCCTGGGAATTACGAGAATGGGGGTCTGAGGATTTAGGCTGGAGTAATGTACAAAATCACCCAATGATTTGACGCAAGCTACGGATATAGGAGGGAGACAATGAATTTTACATTGATGGTTAACTATCTAACTTTTGAATTAGTCACCCACCAAATCTGTCGAGCAGACAATAATGATGCAAGAGCAGGGGAGGAAAAAGCCATTCAGGAAAAGGATATCTCAATTCCTCAGGGCGGTGTCGAGCAAACATAGAATCAAATGAAACATGAACACATATCCACCCGTCGGACCATTAATTACTTTTGCTAATAACGTTAATCAAAGGATGCCATTGTTTCGATTGTTCACAACACTTCCTACCTTCCTAGCTACCGGCTACTACTGCCAGAAAACAATTCTCAACAGACAACGCAACACTTCACAGGCTACCAGTGTCAAGTAACCCTTCAGTTACGCGATCCCTCCTCTCATTCCCATCAAATACCCAAACGCTTACCGTCCCCGCCGTCATCATCCACCTCCAGACTCTCAGCATCCAGCGCCAGATCCCAAGTTGCGCACTCATACCGCATGCTCCCCTCCAAATCCCTCACACCCGTTCGAACCCTCCTCTCCACCCCTTCTTTCCATTTCCCCTCATATACATTTGCCGCCCTCCTTGCCTCTTCATCACACAGAAACAACCCCAGTACATTTTCCTGGTCCGCACCCCTAGCCGCTCCAGTCCTTAACCGGAAGTAAGCGGCCAATCAGTCGTCGTAGAAATTTTTACTCTGATCATCCAGGTCAGTAGGTTTATCAAGCAGCAGACGGGACTTGAGCGTGATGCCAATCATGGCCTCCATGGTATAGCGGGCGTCATTGCCACCGTTGTGCAGATTCCAGCCCATAATGCCGAGATTGGCTAGAATTCTACCTAGGGATGCTGGCTCTGTTTCGTGCTTCATGGCCCGGTAGAGGATGGAGGTGTCAAGGGTTTCGAGGAAGTGTGGCTTTGGGGTTTGTTGGGTTTGGTTGTGTCGTAATGATGAGGGGGAGGTTGTGATGGCTGTCGCGGTGGGTTTTGTGAAAGTTTGGCATCCCAGTTTGCGGAGGAAGGTTAGGTCGCTTTCGGTGTCATGGCCGAGGAAGATGATGTTGCGTGCGCGGGTTTTGTATTCCGGGATGGGATCTAGAATGTCAGCCTCCTTGGGTACATTATAGGAAACTGGTGTTTCAGAGGTGCTCTTAGAGTTGATATGTCGGCGGTTATTGCCGTGAGTACCCTTTCTGCCCGGTAAGCTTTGGGGAAACCGGCGCGTGTGAGCAGCATAGGGAGGTTGGAAGCACTCATCAACGACTTGCGCCGCTGTTGAAATTGATATCCATTCACTTTTTCCGAATTCAAAATAATCCGGACACCCAATGATGAAATCCTTATTGACGACGTGCGAGTATTCCGAAATTCGAAAGTGGCGAGAGTCTATCTTAGCGATCCAGTTACAACCTCCTTCGCCAGGTGGAATCCCGACGAGGTCAAGAGTATCAAGTGTAGATATCCCAATTTCTGTGATTTGTTGCTGGATTCTCTCATTCGCCTCGACATCGACGCAGAAGAAGATTGGCTCACTCGCAAAACCAAACGGGGCAGGCTCATTGACATTGAATGGAAGAAGAATAAGCCCACATGCCAATGCATATTCACGTTCAACCCGCTTCTGCTCTTCCCAAGGGAGGCCAGTGGTCTCAGGTGCTTGGAGATCACGGGGATGTCGAGGACGCATTCCCAGGTAACACTGGGTCCGCTTTAGAGTGCGACACCAATCCTGCAGTTTCTGCATACGATCAGCCTGTCGTTTCTTATTGGCTACTATGTTTCTTCTCCGGGTGGCATCGAGAGCAGCTTTTATCTTTGTTTTGAACGCGACAAATGAGCGGTCGATTTCGACAGAGGAGCCCGTAGGCGGCTCACCATGGCCTGTTGGTGCCGCCGGTATGGTCGACTCCATTTCTACCTTTTTGTCCCGACTGCTCGACGTTCCAAGGTACTGTGGCTGTGGGGTACTGTCGTTTTCAAAGGATACTAGGAACCCAGGTTCCCTGTCTGATGGAATGGCAAGCTGGCACTTGAACGTTTCGTTTATCTCATCGATAAGATCTTGGACCTGGTGGCTTGGAACCAGAATCAGAGGCTGGATCGATATGGACAACGGAGGGTGAATATAGTATCTACTTAAATACGTGAATTAGTGAATCCGAATAAGCGCAACATGATGAGGGAATTAGCGACCGAATGTTGTAGTAATGACGGGCAAATTCTGTTCCTGGGGAAACCATTTGTGGCTTCAGAGTATAGAGCAATGAAAGTAGGTACGTCTGCAGCACCGCCAGGTATAACTTTGAACCCAAAAGGGAGTTTTCAAGGAATAACGCACATATCCCAAAGCCTGTTCCAGAATTTTCCTTGGTCAAAAAAAGTTTTCGCGATTCTATCTTTATCGCCAATGCGGACATGTTCGTATGGGAAGCGGCTGACAGCAGTTATTGGGCAGAACGATGTTGGCTTGTTGAAACCGCCCGCTACGAGAGAACGTCAATACAGACAAGTCTACATTTGTGCCTCTGAGGAATTATTGGTATTCTTACTGCTGTTCTGCTTTCTCCTTCTGGTTTTCCGTTCAGCTCTGGAGAAAGAAGCTTGGTATTCATCAGAGCCCATCTCTGAACCGCTGAGGGCCTCAGCCGCAGCCATACCTGGACCGGCTGCTTTGTTTGGATTCGAGGCACTGACTTCTAGTGGCTTGATATTGTTCTGATGTTCCTGGGAAAGGTGGCATGTTTCAAGCACAGCGTCAAGTGCAGGATGAAGTCCTGTGTCAGTCTGCAGAAATTCTTCATCTCCATCAAAGAGCATTTTCAGGCGCTCAATCCTATCCATGGGCGCAGGATAAATTAGCCTTTCAGGCAGTTGTCTAAGGAAGTGGTTGGCGCAAAAGAAAAAACCGAAAAAATGATAGACAAATGAATTAAAAGGGGAGGGGATGAGAGTTCTTATGTCACTATGACAATGGCATGGAAAGCCTCAGTTAAATGGTGTTGTGGGAGCTAATAGAACAACACATTAAAGTGCACTGAGACAACAACAGACAACAACAAGAACAACACACAACCGGATTTAGCATCAGAAAAGACTGGGATTCTAGGCAGAAGCCGCAACGTCATGATTTTAGTGCCCAACATTCCGGGGCGGTGGGAGATTCTCTGTCGCTGGACATTTCTGGTAAATTTGCAATTATCAGCTAAAACATGCAGCGACCAAATATCTCTTTACATCTTATAATTTTACTATCCATTGTTCGAAATTGCAAATAATAATATAATCAACGTAGTAAGGTTGATGCTCAACAGATAAGATCACATGATCTGGCATATCGGCAATCCGGGGAGCCAGTTTATCCGAAACCCGCTGCACAGATCCACGCTAACCCAATCGAGTAACTGTCATTTCAACCTCGCAACTTCAACTCTGAAACCAAAAGGCGAAGAAGCTCGCTCTCCAATCCAACGATCCTCCGCAATACCCCATCATTGCCCTTGTTGTCATTGAGTATCCCTCCTTTAGGCGCCTCTTTCTTCTTTGGCTAGCTGCGATAACCCTCATACGAGCAGTTATTGTGAACCGTAACCTCCTCCAAATGTGTCAACTGTGACTCCATGATCTCCCATGTCGCACAGATGGTGACGCTTTACTCTCGTATGGCATTGTCTCCAACGGAGTCTTGACTGAACGGAACCCATTCACTTTCTCTCTCGAGCGTCTCATGGGCTCAATGATGTCAGAAAATTCGGATGATAATGGCGTCATCATGGAGGGCCCCTCCGATCCAGATGCGCAGGCCACCGTGACAGATTTCATAGACTACACCGAGTACCTCCCCTCAGACCTCGTTCGTTCCCTGACTTTGATTCGTGGCCTGGACGAAAAATATCTAGATGCGGCTGCAGCTGTCCATGAGTTTACAAAGACCTACGGACAACTTCCTAACCTGCCGCCAGAAGCGCGACCCGACCCTCTTGTTCTACGAAAGCAAATTTCAGAACAGTTGGGGCGCGTGATAAATGCCCGTGAGTCCGCCTATGCGGAAGCATGTCGCATTTACGATGTCGTCGATCGCCACTTTGATCGCCTCGGGAGCATCAAATCCAAGTTGAATGCGCTATCAAGCACATGCACTACAGTTTCTCGAGACACTTCTACGCCTCCCCCAGCTGAACGGTCTCCTGACGCCAAACGACAAAGAAGTGGACGCAAATCCGGTGAGGCACCTTCTGTACCAAGGATCACTTTGCGCATCGATGGGCCTCGCCAATCAGCACCCACAGAGAAAGGCACACAGAAGGGAAACCTACGCAGGACAACCACGCGCCGCGGCACCCTTGCCCTGTTGAATCCGGACTCCCCCATAGTCAGCATGGAACAATATGACGACGAAGGTGAACCTGATTCATCGCATATTCTTGATGCAGAGCATTTGATAGACCAATTCAAGGACAAGGGGAAGTCGAAAAAACACAAACGGGGTACCACAATTCGCATTTCTCAGCCATCTGATTCCGGTAACTACGTGGATGCAAATCAGATCGATACCTCCACCAGCAACGCCTTGGCCATGCTGAAACCTCCCCCAGAAAATGCAAAAATCGGCAGCGAACATTTTCCCTGGCTCCGGTTGACTGAATGGGAGATGACTAAGCTTCGAAAAAAGATGAAGAAGAATAATATCTGGCAGCCCAGTGAGATAATGATCCACCGTGAGCTTGCGGTTCGTGGTCGAGGGTGGGAAGGGTATCGAGCAGCCAAGTTAAACGCCGAAACAACAGGCGCTGAGTTCGTAGACTGCGACGACATAACGAAGAATTATGTTTCAGGGAAACTCGTCCGGAAAAGCGAAGTAGACGCGGATATATCGGGTGTGGAGGAGACTAAACTGAGCAATCGAGGTATGAAACTCAACGAAGCGAAGAAATTGAAACGAGAAAACCTTGCGCGAGAACAGGCGGCTCTAGCTGCGGTCGAGGCCGAAATGGCGGCGAAACGACTCGGGGACATCGGGTCTACTTTTAAAAGCTTGTTTTCCACCCCTGCAGAGCAGAGTCATTACAGTAGCGTTCAATCTGGACTTTTAGGTAAATATTTCAAAGCTAACGGTCCTGCAGTGAAGGATAGGCCAAAGGTGCCAAAGCAGCCTGCTAAGAAAAGAAAATTTGAGGAGGCAGCCGTGCCAGAATCGTTTCGAGATGTGGACTCCCAAGCTGCTGTCTCCTCAACCACTGCCAAGCCGTCCGCGAAGAAACGCAAGCTTAGCAAATCTGCTTTTTCAAGTACCGTTAACCCAACTGCAGATGATGCCTCGATGGAAAGTGCAGTTTCAGCAACTAGGGGCCCTCAAGCTGCTACCGGTGGCCTATCTACAGTCTCTAAAAGATCATCCCTCCCCGCTTCTCCTACTGAGTTCCGCCGGTCAATTGGCCCTGCCGTATCCAAGGCCCACCCTACCCCCACACCCCCTGTTACCCGCCCTGCTTCTCGACCCCGTTCCGCCACCGGAGCCCCTGGAGAATCTACAGGTCGCGAACGACCCTCAAGGAAGAGTGCCACACCTGCAGTCAGCAGGGCCGCCTCTGGAGCCGATCAGGTCACTACAACTGCTGCTGGCCGTCGCAGCAAGCGCCCTGCCCCCGGACCCGTAACTTCAGGCCAGGATGGCGGTGCTGCCGTAAGCGTAGGCCGTCGCAAAGCCAAGCCCACAGCGAAGAAAAAGAAGGATCAGGCCTACAAGGAAAGTTCCCAGACGCCCAGAACCGAGGATGTGCGGATAGACGAAGACGGAGTTCTCGAGGAGATCGACCCGAACGAACCCAGGTACTGTCTCTGCGGAGACGTCAGTTTTGGCACGATGATTTGCTGCGAGGATAATGATGTGAGTGGCCGATGAAGCTGTGTATTTTGTTCGCTTTAAGTGTACTGTTTTTGCTTTTTCTAGTTGTGTGTTTCTTTCCCCTTTCGTGAATCCCATGTTCCGCCAATCTTGTCTTTACTCCCGTCCATTACCAAGCCCGATCCTTTCACATACAGTCCGCTGCTGGACCGTGATAGCTAACCCAATCTACTCTATGGCTACCCAGTGTGACAAGGAATGGTTCCATCTCGATTGCGTCGGTCTTACAGAAGTCCCAAGCCGGACTGCGAAATGGTACTGCCCCGAATGCCGGAAGAAGCTTGGCAAAGCTGTGACGGACGGCATCGTGCGAACAGGCGGCGGACGTCGCTAATTCTGAATTCACTTCACCCCCATCTTGATTCTCTAAATGTATAATAACTGAAACAGTAGTTAATGATGAGTGACGCTAGGAGGAAATATGGAGCTACAAGGTGCAAGGTGGTTGGATTTTGAATTTCAATTTGGTGTGAGGTTATTATACCAATCTGCGTTTTATCATTTACGGGCGAAATTACAGGGAGTGCTGGAGGGTGATCTGACAGCAGATCCAAATTTCCATCTTCTTCAAGGTTAACATATTGTGTCTCTTAACATCCTGCTTACGGCTAGAAATGGTTTCCCCATTTTGCTACCATAATTCTGCCTTACCGGAGGGGTTGTATGATACTTCGTTCATATAGTTTTCAGAGGCCATGACACAAGCTTACATAGGGACGCCTGGTATTTTGGTTAGCTCCCACCCCCCAAATACTTTACGGCCTGTTAACGAATATAATTGTGGGTGACAATCTCGTGTTTGAAGCGTGGCATACGCGTCGTACATAGTCTGTAGGTGATCTCCGTCGTTCAATTATCTCTCTATTCTTTATCATCTTTTACCTGAATTGCATCTCAATCAAGATGGATTTAGCAACTTTCTCAAAAGATCATTGTCTTCTGCTGCATCATTCCGTTAAGTGTGATTGATTAGAGATCAATATTGAGATATTCAGATTGAGAATATTTTAATAAATCGATTAAAGGTTCATGATCTGTTCTGAGGAAAGAACACGCGATTGACGATTAAGTTGATTATTCTTGAATTCTACTCAAAAACAGCGCATATTATTACATCTAAACTCGTGCTAAATTCTGTTTTTAATAGATCTTTTAAATAAACTCGGATCTATAGGATGAAGCTCTCGGCTACGCAGTCAACGCAACTCTTGAAAGACTTTTAAAAAATGAAACTATCTCTATATAATGACTTGCATACTTCTCAAATTTAAACTGAATTCAAACTGTATAAAATCGGATAAAAAGATAAATATAAAAATATCCTTTAAGATAATCTCCGTGATGTGATTTACCAGACTTTAGATACTATGACGGACAATATTACAGACGCTGATGAAGAAGATGCCAGCTTATTTGCAGGAGAGTTATAAAAAGAGAAGATAAATATGCAAGATTCTAACTTGCTACTATTCTCAGAATATTGTGTATATATCATTATACCTACCTCGTCACTGAATATAAATGCGTTCCCTCAATATTGTGATTAGTTAACGAACCAGTTAGATACCAAGCAAAATCTTAACCAGTTTGTTACTGCCTGCTGCACGTGATTTAGGCAGCCCCACATAAACCTAAGGTGTAGGTTGCCTGCGACTCCGGAGGGGATCACAGAACGAAGATACGCACGCGATATTCGTTGTCATGAAAAAAATTACTAAGCTTTTGGAATCTAGACATTTCAAAATGATTTCATCCTCTTAATCTTGAATGATGATGATAGGTTCTCCAACTGCAGCCTAGACTACACTCAAAACAATCCTCGAACCCACTCAACATATATACTTCATAATGACCCGTGTCGGTAGCTCGGCTAATTTGTATGTGAACCAATTTAAGGTTATTTTCGGCTTCGTGACGAACCAATTACGCACTATAGCTGCGGGCGCCTCCAACGTTTCCTCCGCCACATGCCGCACCTATGACTTCATCCCAAACTGTATTCATCTGGCCCTTATATATAGCCGCCCACCCCTGGTCTTCCTCACTTGTTGTTTCTCTCTTCCAGCTGATTCAACCACACGATTATCAACAAAAATCATTCAACCACATTTTCAGAGGTATTATTTTCTTCTACGTACATGTTTCATGTCCTGGGTCCCACATGTACTACATTTACGCACGGTGCTAATATTTCCCACAAGAAATCAGACCCCAAAACGGTTTCTATCTAAACCTCACCTATATCCAATCACCCCCAACTAACATCCAAAATGGGCTGTGGATGCGGATCAGAGTGTTCCTGCAGCGGACCCCAGAATTGTGCCTGCGGGACTTCTGGCGGTGGAGGCACTTGTCACTGCACCTCCTGCACTGTAAGCTGACAACAACAACTCTCTTCGAACCTGCAAGCTTGTTGCCAGATAATCTTATCGTTAATATTTGCCTTCCCTTGCTTTAGAAATAAAATCGAGAAACTCGTCTTGTCTCCTTGGAACCAACCACGTTCACTCACAACCACGATCGCTCTGAAGTTGTTCTTTCGCCACAGGATGTGTTTTCTGAGATTGTTGGTTTGATGGAAGCTGGAAGTGGCGACTACGTGTGTGTTCGATGTTCGCTGGTGTAAGGGTTATCTGGGTTGGACGTACAGTGTTCGTGTGTGTCTGGTACTTGGAATGAAGTTCCAGGGTGTATAATAAATTGCCACTGTTACTTGCCCCGCTCTTCTTGTGCAATGCATATGTAGCAACTGAACAGGATCGTAAGTAAGGATCTGTAACTTCAAATACATAGGCTGGGTTGATACGCGGCATCTAGTTTCACGATACTGACGTAGGTTATGTCCGTCGTTGCACTGTGCTTCCTTGGGCCGTGGAAGGGGCACGTGGGGCTGGTGGGTAACTAATTCGTTCGCAGGAGGCAAGTTTTGGCCACAGCCTACGGTTACAACGATCCGCTCTGAACAAAAGTCGCACAAATTACTCATGTTGGTTAACTGTAATTGGCCCATCCGCCAAAACCAACCAGTCGAACCGCAATCAAACAACCCAAATCCCCTGTTATAATGCACACACCGTCGTTCCAGAATATTCTGATGCGTGTATCCAACCTAGTTACCTAGTTATCTCTGACACTAAGATAAAGTGACCTGATCCAACAAGCAAGCCGAACACCAAATTCGGAAGAGTTATCTTTAATTTCCCAAATCCAACCCACTTCAACGCTTTGAGAATGCAAAAATGCAAGAAACTATAGAGAGAGAGAGAGAGAGAGAGAGGGAACGATTTCGAATTCGAGCGATTTCTGCCATTCAAAAGAAAGAAACGTTCTCGATTTATGAAGCTTCAATATCTACGCAAATGACCCACTTACTCCTCCTGTATTTGAGCTTAAATGGATGCTCTACAGGGACTAGCCTACATGCAAATTCACTCAAATGAACAGAAGCTGAAGACAGTTTACAGGTTCAATGGAATTCCAGGTCTGGTTAAATGAGGGTTATCTTTCTGACCAGCTTTTATTGAGAATATGATCAATTGTCTTACTGCATGACATTTAATTCTCACAACTGTCATGTCGGCAGGAACTGAGTCTTAAATCTAATTAAACATTGTATGAGGCTTCAGTGCTGCTATTTCAGACACTACAATCCTGATCAGACTAAATGCAAGTTTAGAAAGATTATTGTAAAGTGATTTATAATATTGAGAGACTACTTTTACTGAATATAACATCATATTTCAGATATTTATTACTTTGATAAATCTGAATTTACAATGAGACTTTCTCTACAACTACAAAATCATTGCTAATGCTAAGTTCTATAACTGAGTAAAGCTTTTACAGTCTCAGAATTATGAATGAATTACTGTGATAAAGTCAATGAATATATTTAATTCAGTTCTCTATATATTATTCTTAAAAGTTAGAGTAAAAATATAAATTTTATAGACTTTCAAATGACTAATAATAGATATTAATAATTACTTACTAGTTAACACTACAAATAAAATTAAGCTTAAATAATTTGTAAAAATGTTAATTTCAATTATCAATTTATATACATAGAAGTTATTATCTACTTATTGTTAATAAAATTATTTATTATTTGATTTTGATTAAATTATCAAAAATAGAAATATTTCTCTCTGTATATTCATATATTTATTTCATCTTTTAGTCTTTAAGTGTGAATGTTTTGTGAGCTTTGTATAATATAAGTTTTTCAACTTATGCAATCAATCTATTATCAAAAAATTCTACAGATAAAAAGTTATTGATTTTGATTTTTTAAAAAAGAAAGAAAATAAATTCTATTCATACATGTAAATGCAAGCAGGATTTGAAGAATAATTTTTCATTAAGAAATTAAAACTTAATAAATTCAAGATCAAACAATCTTAATGTAACTTAAATATGACTACTTTAAATTTTATTTTAAAATAAGATTTTATAAACTCAGACAAATATAATTTCTATGCTTTAATTGAAAATTCAGATCATATTTTAATGAATTGTTTATTAAATAATTATGTTAAAAAGAAACTAAAGAAAATACTTTATTAATTCCTTAAATATGCTCTTTCTCTTTAAGACTGAACTGGTAATAAAGTTTTGATTAACTATATAGAGAAAAACAACTATCTCTAGAAAATAAATTTTAAAGTTAAATAAAACTTTTTTTTAATTTATACTATGAAGAAACATCAAAGTTTAGATTATTTTATTCTAAATGAATTTTTTTATTATGAATACTCTTATTATTATTATATTATTTTTATAAATATTTCTATTTCATATTGAGATTTTTTTTTTAAATTCTAACACAAACATTTTTTTATTATATTGTTTTATTTTAATAATTAACTTTTATTTTTATCTACTTTTTTATTTTTGTTAATTCTATTTTAATTTTTTATAATATTTTATATTGAATTAAATATGTGTAATTTTTTTTTCTATGATATATTTGTGGCGTTCCGCCTCTATTCTTCCGCTCCTTTCTATATTAATATCTGCTCTTTATTCACCCCTCCCTAATCCACTCAGAGGTCTCAATCTTTTCTATATTTCCTATTCTATGCGATCGCTCCTATCATATAGAGTGATTATAGTGTGTATATATAGCAGGGCATCTGCCCATCTTATTAGAAGAGAATCAGACATAATTTATCCTATCTATTCAATTGCTTGTACGTATCATATTTGTTAAATATTTAATTATTTGAAATAAAACTACATAATTGTATGTTCTAAATTGTATATATTAATCATATTTAAAAGATAGTCAAATTCTAATATAATTAAATAGATGTTAGTCATTAACTATACATATCTCATAATAATAATAATAATAATAAATATATATATATAAATCAATTGTATAGATTTCAATGTCTGATATATTTCACAGTTGTAAAATAAATAAATATATAAGAGTCTAATTAAACAGTAAATATAACTTGAATTCAATATCATTAATAAGCTTGAGTTTTTAGATAGTTATAGTTACTCTCTACTATATAAGTAGAGATCTTTAAAACTTATGATATTTAATCAAATTTAATAACTAGTAATATGATTTTAAGTTAAGTCAGATCGTCTAACAGCTAAATATTTAACTTTAAACTTCTTTCTCTTCACTAGCTAATTTCATAGCTTTTAATTATTTTGAATTTTATATATATTGATAACTTCAAAGCTATACTTTAATCTCTATTACTTTAAAGTGTAGCTATCTCATCTCATATATGTGCTTTACTTTCATGATTGAGAAAGTTATAGAATTGCTTCTATATTATTCTCATTTGATTTTAAATTCTTTTATATTAGCTTTATACAAAACTTTATTTTCTATGAATTTTTTATTTTATTTCCCATAAATTCACTTTATTTCTCATGAATTCACTTTACATATTTAGAAGCTATTAAAATTATTAGTTAATAATGAGTTTGTTTTAAAGATATTATCATAAATGTTCATTAATAAATTGAAAGTAAATGATCATATCAACTTTATATTAAATATATAGAAAAATAAAAATGGAGTAAGTATATCAATCATGAAAATTTAAAGAAATTTAATTAAATATATTTAATTTTTCTTTAAACCTTAATAATAAAATATAAGAGAAAAATTATAATAATATAAAATATAAATATTGTAAGATAATTTAAGATACTATAAATCAATATTTAATTTTTTTTAATATTTAATTAAATAACAGATTATATATTTAAGTATAGATATTTATAAATAGATAAATATAAATAAAGTTTAAAGTAATAAAAAAATATTTTGTTAGAAGTACAATGATAAAAATATATATCTCTTTAATAAAAAGTATAATATTATTAATTATAATTATCAATATATATAAGTAACTTTATAAATTTAATAATAAATAAAATAGAATCTTCTAACTAATGTTTTATAAGTGTATTTAAGACTAATTTTCATATTATTAGATTTTATCATTTTAGTTGATATAAATTTTTTGATAAAAGTAAATAGAGTATTAATATTTATTTGAAATATGTTAAAGTTGTAATAAAGAAAAAATCATTTAATTTACTAATGTAAAATAATACCTCTTATTTAGAATATTTATAGATGATTTAATATTTAAAAAGTAAATGCTTTTCTTAATATTACAAAGTAACTTTATTAGTAAAATAAAAATTTATAGTTATCACTTAGTAATTAATTATAAATTAATATATCTTTTTTTAATCATTTTTTTAAATAGGATCTTTAAAAGTTTATATTAAAATCAATTCTTATAATAATATAAATACAGTATATAAATATTATGAAAAAATTAAATAATATATTTATTGTTATTATTATTAAATAAAATCTTTTTAATATTTATTTTATATTTTCAATTTCTATAAGAAGCTTAGAGTTGAAAGCTTTTAAATTTAAATAATTTTGCTAAAGTATAAACTATAAGTTTTTTAAAAGTGTTAAATAAAAATTTAATACACTTATTTAGATAAGAATATTACTAATAATTAACTAACTATTAGTTAATTGTATTAGTATTGCATTAATAATAAATATTTTATACTTATAGTTATGATAAGTTTTATTTCTATATATATATCAAAAATATTAAAAATGAGTTAATAAATAAAAATCTAAATATTTAAATTAGATTTATATCATAAAAATAAAAACAAAACTTTAAAAGATGAAATAATAAT